ATTTCAGGACTAACATTAGGCCAAATACTCATCCCGCCAGATAATCATTAATCCAGGTTCATCTAATTAATTATTTCAATAGCTAATATATAAAAGATGCTGTACTAGGCACTGTGGAGAAGAAAGATATATAAAACATAGGCACTGTGCTCTAGAAGTTCACGGTCTGGAATTCACAGATAGAGAATGTACCCTGAACCCAATTCCACACTCCCAAGAGCTCAGATCATCCATGTATCAAAAAAATATTAAATATCTATAGTGCACCTACTCTTAGCCTATAAGACAAGTTATATATACATTAATATAGAGCAATGTAAGTGCTAAGGGAAAGGCGAACAAATGATTAATGCTGTCTAATTAGGTCATAAGACCATATGCTTGAATTGAATCCTAAAAGACAAGTTTGCTGAGTCAAGACAGAGAGAAGGGCACAGCAAGCAAAGTGAATGTTCAAAGGCAGAGGCAGGAAGAGTATGGTACTCTTCATGGAATGGCAAATAGTTCTGCAGCAGTAATCAGGAGTAAGATCAAGAGGCACCTTGTATACTTTTCTAAGGGATTTGGATTTTATTCTAATGACAAAGAACAGATGACAAAGATGAGAAATAAGATCAATCACCCAGGCAGTGGTTTGAAAGATAAGAACAGAAGTAGGAAACCAGGTAAGAGACTGCAATAATAATAGTCCAAGTAAGAAATGAAGGTGGGCCTAAATTATAACTTAGTAATATTAAAAGCGAAGACAATTTCAAAGTTGCACAATCAACAGATCTTAGTGGCTGAAGGATGTGGCAGATAAGACAGAAGAGTGAAGAAGAGCTCACAAATTAGACAACTGAGTACTATCAAGAACCAAGACAGAAGCTAGTCTTTACAGTGAGTACAGACGACTGGGAGGATTAAAACCAATCTCTGGAAGTCAAATGTGAATAGGGAGTAGCTGAAGAAATGAAGATACATGAGATCACCAAGAGATCACTGTGTGGAGCAAAACAGAAGAGAGTCAAGGACAGAGCTTGGGAGAGTTCCTGAGGGCAAGGCCTAGGACAAGAGGTCCTCAAAAGAGACTAATAAGGAACAACAGTCTAAGAACTAAGGGAACAAAGTTTCAAGGAAAGAGGAATGGTCAACAACATCAAATGCAGCAGCGGTCAGCGAAGAACAGCTACTTTTGGGAGTCAGGGAACCTTATCAAAGAGAGCTGCAATAGAGTGGGCAAAGTGAAAGGCAAAGCACTGGGAATCAGGAGATGAATGAAAGGTAAAGAAGTAGGAACAGTAAGCAGGAAGCATTTCTCAAATTGTATGGCACAGTTTCCCAAACATACTGACCACAGAACAATTCCTCATGCAGCATTCCTTGGCTCTGGGGTTCCCGAATAGGAGAGACTTAAACATGTCATGTTTAGAAGCTAGAAGGAAGAAATCAATGTCAACAGAGAGACTGTCCAAAACTTAAGGGATAAATAAGGGAATAAATTGCTGGAGGAAACAAAGACAGGTTCTGAAGCATACAGTAAAGGAACACCTGTTTGTCTGTGACAGAAGGAAAAACGGTAAGAAACGGGATGAATGAAAATGTGGTACACAGATAGAAAAGCCGACACATGAGGTAATTCATTCTGAATGATCTCTTTTCCCCCTTTCTGAAGAACACAAGTATATTACTCAAAAGTGACAGAGAGCAAGCGAGAAGGTTGAGGAGAACGTTAAAGGTTTAGACAGCAGCCATAGAGAAGAGGAGAGAAGAGAAGGGTCTGGAATGGACTGAGGGTCAGAAAGCAGTACATATAGAGTAAGGCCATTCATCTCAGTTGCACTGTAGTTCTACAATGTTTCAAAGTCCTGAGGAATCCTGGGTAGATAGGTTGAAACTTCACCCTTATAAATTCCAATCCACTCCATCTAAAGCCCAAATAACCCCATTTCTTGGGGCCTAGACACTAGAAATCACCTGAAATAACACCAAAACTTAGCAAGTAACTAAAGAATGAAGTATATCCAGTGAGTTTCCAAACCTCCCTGGGATCTTAAGAGCACCAATAACAAGCAACTAGAATTCACAGGAGAATCTGAAGGACAAGAGATTTTAATGTGAGCATTCTTCTAAGTTAACACTTCTTAAAAGAAATGCCATTTCATCAGACCACAAGAGGGAAAACCACCACCAAAAGAGGTGTTGACAAGTATGAATCTCCTAACACACCCAACAGCCCAACAGTTCTTATTCATTTACATCACTTAGGGGGTGAGCTAAAACAACAGCAATAATAACAACAATTGATGATCCCTCTCCCCACTATTCCCAAAGATCTGAAACAAAATGAATATGATTTTATTTAATATGTCACTACTTTTAGGTAAATTTTAACCTGCTATACCCTGAGAAGTTACATCATTCAAGCTGACGCCTAATGTTTATGTGAAGAATGGGAAGACATTGTTATCCCTTTGGGAAAAAAAGCATTTTTAAACTAATTTTTAAAAATATTCAAGTGAGTCAGGATTAAAATGAGAGCCCTTAAAAGATACTTAATGTCACTGCGTCAGTCTATATATACCATGATGTCACACACACATCTGAATATAACTGACAGACAGTACCCTAAACCAATATAAACAAAGACCAAATTTAGGAGTGATAAAGTGAAATTGGAGGAATGGACATTTATTTAATATCTATTACATGCCTGGAAATTTGAATCCTCACAACTCTGTAAGGTAAGTGATAAAATATTTCAATCCTAAACAACAGCATTTGAACTAGATAATCATAGAACACACGAAAAATCTTGAATTCACATAGAGATTGATCAAGCGGAGTTAATCATTCTAGGCAGAAACTGAGGAAAGACAAAAGGAAATTTGCACTTAGGTGAAATAAAGTATTGCTGATGTGGAGTTTCAGGTGACCTTCTATCTACCATCTGCTTGGTGTATAGGCTGAGATCACGAGAAAAATACAAAATGGAGAAACAAAAGGTGGCCAAGAGTATTAAGTATTGGATAAAACTGGTGGCTTGGCAATTAGGGAGATCTCTGACAAACTGACAGCAGTTTCAACAAAATTTTGATGACACCGAACTGCAGGCATTCAAGAAATAAATGGGTAGTAAAGAAATCAGGGAAAAGAACAGAATCTATTCCAAGGGTCCCCAAGTAAGAACTCCACAAACATAGTAATGGAGATCAGATGGGCATTATGAATATTTCAAACAGCCATATGAAAAATAAATTTAGCCTCCATCGAGCTACAACAGATTAAGGAAAATACTAAGTTTCTTTGAGTCTCTAATCAGCATACTATATATAAAATGAAAGTATGAATCACTGTTTTACAAATGTCATGTGCTCAGTAAAAGACAGGCTTGGTAGAAAATAAATAGAAAGATTATTAAGTACTAAAAGATTGGGAATCATGGGGCTCTTGAAAAAATCCAGCACCAAAGAGAAATGCAATTATGAATGATTCAGGTAGAAACCTTCGGAGAAAGTTTCTGATGTTGTTTTAAGGCTTTTTGTTTGCTGGTTAGTTGGTTGGTTTTCTTTTGTTTTCAGAAGAGAAAAAACTTCTAAAGATGTTAGGTCAGGATTAAGAAATCAATGTAAAGAAATGTTTAAAGTTCCAGAAAGAAAGGCAGTTAAAACATCACTGAGAAGAAGATGAATCACAAGAAAAAAGGACTGACCTTACAAATACTACAGAGTTATAGATCAGTTGCAGTCCATGTTTGGAAAACATGGGTTCAAATTTCTGCTCCTCTACTGACTACTGTTTAACATCACTTAGCGTTTCTGAGGACGTTTCTCCATTTAACAGTAA